GGCTAGGAGGACAGAGATCTCAAAGGGCAGGAACTGGGAGTGCGAGAAGGTCACTTACGGGGGGAGGAGGAAGTCCGCTGTGACTCCAGTGAAAACTATTCACAAATTCCTGTTGGGCCCAGGGGCAGCCTCACCTGGGCACAGAGTCCAAGAGGAATGCCAAGTGATGAATCAGGCGACTCAAAGAAGCGATGATTCAACTAGAAACCCATATGTCATGATAAGGGCCCAGAAGGCAAGACCTGAATGTGACCAGACACCTACACTTGAGGGTAAGGCTGACAATGGAATTTGTCATCTGAACGCTCACCGTCGGAAGGTCTCTCAGGGCACCGGCATGGGTGTAAACAGCAGGACGGTGATGAAGTCAGAGCAAGGATCCTTTGATCTGGGAGTGGTTGTTGGAAGAAGTAAATTGTTCTCAGGGTGCAGTTCACCTCGGCTGTGCCCCGTGGCCCCACGTCACCACTTCCCAGGGTCTACTGTTTACATTCTTATCAGTAGAGTTACCTCTGTTCCATGGAACCTGGGGCCTTCTCTCTGATTCAAGTTAATCTGGTGATGGGAGTGGCACCAGTCCTTGAAGTAGACACGTTCTCTGGATTATTTCTTAATGGTTTATTTGTAGCAATGAAGTAGATTGGTCAATGAGTTTGCATATTTAAAATTAGCATATGCTGATGATCAAATTCTTGCCAGTTTAGACTCCCAGGAACATGGTGTGGACACCCTTTTCCTTATGTCTTCACCAACACTAGACATAACAAGACTCTTCTGTTTGTCAAACACAAAGGTCAAGACTGATAATCTGCCAGTGTTTTCCTTTGAACTCTTCGCACTCTGCATGTGGTTAAACGTGCTGCGGGAGGTTGTCGTAGTGCCCACCAACATCTCAGAAGGGTGCACGCCCCTGCCTTGTGGACTTGGGAATGGCCATGTGACTTGGCTTGGCCGAAGAAACGTTGATGGAGGTGACAGGGTCACTTCTCAGCCAAAGCTCAAAGAACTTTTTATTGAAAGAGTCAGAAAATGAATAGTTTGGGCTTTTCCAGCCATACCACAACTACTTATCACCACCACTGTAGCGTGAAAACAGAGACAAATAAATAAACAAATAGGCCTGGCTGTGTTCTAATAAAATGTTAATTACAAGTATAGGCATTGGGCTGATTTAGCCCTTGGGCCATAGTTTGCTGACACCTGTAATAAACCACCAAGATTCAGGAAGATCATAAATTACTGTGGCATTATCTAGCCTATATTAACTAAGACACCTGTTTTTAAATAAATTTTTCTTCAGACTTTTTCTTTTGAAAATCACCTATTCATAGTTGCCCTTTTTTCCATATGACTATTTGTTTTTTACTTAATCAGTTGGGAAATTAACCTTTTGTTATTATCGCAATTTTCTTATTTTGTTTTTACGTTTTAACTTACTTGAGCTGTTTTTGGCTATAGAGATTCTTTTTTTTTTTTTAATTTAGATAGGCCAATCAGTTTACATTTTCCAGTATGGCTTATGCCCAGAGTTTCTCAGCTTTTGCACTATTGGTATTTGGGGCCAGATAAGCCTTTGCTGTGGGGACTGTTCTGTGCACTGTAAAATGTTTAGCAACATCCCTGGCTTCCACCCATTAGATGCCGGTAGCACCTACTTCCCAGCCTGACAAATAAAAAGATTTTCTAACATTGCCATCTAGGATCTCGCAGGGGGCAAATTCACCCAGCACTGAAAATCACTGTTTTATGCCCCGTACTATGCCTTAAAAAGCCCTTTCTCTGTAATATTTATAAGGCTGCTTCTTAAATTTACTTCTAGTATTTGTATTAAGTATATATACATTTAATATAATATATGGTTACATATTATTTTAATATATACTAAATTGTGAGAATTTGTCTTCTGTAATACTTTTAACCTTTCTATTACCTTGAGCTTGCTTTTTTGGGGGGAGGGGGATCAATGTGATTTTTTTAAAATAAGGATTCACATCTATCTTGTCTCTCCAAATTGACAGAAAGACAGAAAAAATGACTTTATTTTTTAACTTTTTTTTAAAATTTTTTATTAGTTGAGGTAGTGGGGATTGAGCCCAGGACCTCATGCATGCTAAGCACACACTCTACCACTGAGCTCTACCCTCCTTCTAGAAAAACTTACTTTAAAATAGTGACATATAAAGCATATAAATCCGTGTTTCTAGTTGTAAATGACTATTAGCGGTTTTATTTTTCTAGAAGAGAAGAAGGGGAAGGTTGTCTGTTCAAGTTCAACAAGGTGTCAGAGAAATATTCTTGCAGAGGGTGAGTAAGTGAGAGGCAGAGCTTCACCCTCACGTTCCTGGGACCCTGGCCTGGGGCTGCTGCCCCGTTCTCTCTCCCCTCCTCCTTTTCCATCGCCCTGTCCTTGTCCCCTCCTCCTAGGTCCTCTCCACTCTTTCAGGCACCTCACTTCTGGTTGCCACCAGCCTGATTACTCCAAGCATCGGTCACTTTGACACTAATGCTTCACCCTCCTTCCT